AGGAACCTGTGCTTGTAAGAAGCTGCCTTTAAGCAGGCTCCCCATGAGCACCGGATCCGCCAGCTGCTTCCTCTGCTAGAGAGGCAGTAGCTCAGAGAGAGGGGGCCTGGCACAAGAAACTCACCTGCATTCCCCTCTTCCTGCGGCCATAAAAGCTAGTTCAACTCAGCACCAGCTCCTTGGTGCCACCTGCTTCCCACCCCCAGAGGAGGGCGAGGGCAGGGGAGGCTATCACAAAGCAGCCTTTGTCGGCAGCAGGCCTGAGCTCCCCCATGGACAGAGACTGCTCTCACCTGTGTAAGGAGAGGAACTCCCATTATAGACCATGGAAAAACTGACTTAATTGGGAATTGAAACAAGCCTTGAGTGATATCGAAGGACTCCTGACAAATTCATAACAGAACCTTTGATGTCACTGGTTTGGGACATGCTGCCCTAAATAGGACGATAAATGGTCCCTTTCCCATCTTAAGCTTACCCCTGTCCCATGCATGCTGTTTGTTTCCTCTTGCAGTGCTCATGGGAAGCATCTTCAGTATCCTGTTAATCACCATGATCCTGTTGGCAGTGTGTGTCTACAAGCCCATTCGGCGACGGTAGCAGAGCTGGAGGAATCTAATCGGATCAGTCACCTTGCCCGTGGAAATTTTGCCGTCACAACTCTGGTGCTCAAAAATGACCTGTGCTATGCAGCAACCGTAAATCCATCCTGATGTTTCGTCTGAGATCTAGCTTGTAAACTACTATGTCTACTTAGTAATGAGACTATGAGAAGTATTTTTTCCCCTCTAACATGTAACATAACCGGTTGTTTCCCTTGCAGAGGCATGCCTACAACTGCTTGGCTGCTCTCAGACTCCTTAGCTTGAATCTTAAAATCTCCTTTAGCTTAATAGAGACCTGTGTCTACAGACATGGGTGCCTAAAGTTAGACACTTAAATAAATGGGGGCCTCAGTCTGACAGATCTTATGTCAGTGACTAATTCTAAGCACTCATGTTTGACAATGTTAGCTGTGAACTTCAGTTAGTATTTGCCCTAACTCTGATAAGAAAAGCTAGGAGTATGTGAAGTATTTTACTTTGGTACTGCCCACAGACAAGTTCTCTCCTTAGACTTGTTCTGTTTCTGAATTCTGCTCTCAATTCCTGGATGGGAATATGACATAAATAACCTTCATGAATTTTCCTGAAACACAGACTCTAATTGATCTTAAAATGACAATACAGTGTACTTTAGATAATGTGGGTCATGTGCCATATTTGGCAGCAAGATGGGTTAAATTTCAGCTCTTTCATATATCAGAAGTCTTCTAGATCTAGTCTGTCAAATGCCCATTGGATTACAGTTTGGTGGTATCAGTAACAGTTGAAGGTTTTTTATTTCTGTTCTAAAAATCATAATTTTTAATTTTTAACTTTTTTTTAATTTTTAAATCATAATTTTTAAGTCCCAAGGGCATTAGATTATGGTATAGTGAGTTGTTTTGCAGTCTTAAGGAGTGCAACTCTCCTCAAGCATGGAGTCTTCTGTCAAGTGTCTAGAGTGACTCTTATAAAAGCCAATCAAAAGGCAAGGGCTTACCTGTACTTTAGAACCATGAACTTGGCTTTGTAGGGCTAGCCTACACACACACATTTGAACTGAAATAAAATAGGAATTTAAACTGCCTGACTTATTTTTGGGGCACTGGTTTGTTAGTGGCATTAACAACTTTCATTCTGAATTAAGTGTCCACATGCAGACTTGCACCAAAATAGCCATGGTTGGCTTTAGGAATCCAGTCCAAATTTGTCTGTAGAGCAGACCCCAGCAGTGAGCATGTGTTTAACTGTATAATAGGCTGGGGCTCAGTAGCTGAAATGAACAACAGTATAAACTTCAGTCCCTTAGATGTTTCCAGGAAAGTCAGTCATGGCTGAGAGGCTGCTTTGATGAGAGTGAGGGAATGTCACTTTCAAAACCTTTTGGAAGTGTTGTGTGTTTGTGATAAATGTTGATGCTGGCAAATTCCAGTTGATGCTATTTTTATTTTGCACTAGTTTAAGTGTTAGTTGGATTTTTTTTGTTTGTTATTTAACAAAGAACTGCTTTGTGGAGGTAATTTATTTTAGACTATTTTAATTTCATGTGAGGAATAGCTCCCTGTGTCTCTTCTGTTGGCTTCAACCTTCTATTGTGGCTCATGTAAGTAACATCCACTGGTTCCATTTTATTTAGCGGGATGATGTGACTTCTGCTGAAAGTAGCGATGACTCTTTGTAGTAAGATGATGCCCTGGTGTTTGTACCCTGCAATACCCAGCCTTGAAGTAAAATCTGAGCTAAAGTGAGAGTACACTGGTGGTGCGTTTTAGTTCTTGTTGCACCTTTTTCTGTTTGGTAAATTGTATCAGCCAAGTCGTCTCCTTACTCTCCCTGTCTTCATTTCACCTAAAATCACGTGTTCCTTTTCATTAGCATGGCAGTAAGGGAAAGTCCAGCTGCATTCAAGGTTATGGGCTTGTAGTTACAGCTCTGTCTGATTGCTTGAAGTGATATTCTTGTTTACATTCTCCACTCCCAGCTAATCCCCTTTTTGTACAAATAACAAGTTAACAAAACAAGTCTGCTATATACAGATACTCTGCACATCCTACAAACTCTGTCCCAGCTTCCTGGAAGGACTTGGCAATCCACCCAGCAGCCATTACTGGCAGGGGGCGAAAGGCATTGACAGCCCATGGGTGAGGAAAGATGAGCCTGTCTTATAATCTGCATAGGGGGCACTCAAGAAGGTGAAGAAATTAAAGGAAAGATATGAAGTTAATGTGCAAAAGCTGAAATGTAGGAAGAGCCTCTGTGGTTACTAAGGGCACGTCTCCACTACGCTGGGGATAGACACACTTAATCGGTGTCCAAGTGTTCCCCGTCCACGCCAGTGGAGAAGAGTAGCTGGTGTGGATGGGAGAGCAACCCTGCTGGCCTTACCACACACAAGACACAAGGTAAGTATAAACAGGAAGGCTGCGTCTAGACTGGCAAGTTTTTCCGCAAAAGCAAGTGCTTTTCCGGAAAAACTTGCCAGCTGTCCACACTGGCCCCCTCACTGACCGATCTCATGAAAGATTGTCAGTGTTCTTGCGGAAATGCTTTTGCACAAGAGGGCCAGTGTAGACAACGCGGTATTGTTTTGCACAAAAAAGCCCAGATGGCGAAAATGGCGATTGGGGCTTTCTTGTGCAAAATCGTGTCTAGATTGGCATAGACGCTTTTCCACAAAAAGTGCTTTTGCGGAAAAGCGTCCGTGCCAACCTACTCTCTTTTCCGCAAATGCTTTTAACGGAAAAACTTTTCCGTTAAAAGCATTTGCGGATAATCATGCCAGTCTAGACGTAGCCGAATGGTATAGGACCCCACAACAGAAATAAAATACACAAGCTTGACTGTGACTCAGGTAAGCACAGAATAAGAACCCAGATGACAGGAGGAGGGTCTCAGGGACATTACCATCTCTCGCAGGTGAGGACCTCACAGCGATGCCTGGCACCGGGGTTTCAGACTTAGTCTTACCTGTCTGGAACTCAGCATGATTGACAGCAGGATCCTGCTCCGGCTGGATCCGTTCGGCCTAACACCCAACGAACCCCTTTCTCCCTGCGCCGTCGTGGGTGCAAGTATGTCCTAATCAGGAAGGAGTGACGATGGACGTCACTCTGTGCCTCCCTAAACTTAACAAGCATGAATCCTGGCGTACCCGCCTGAGTAACCCTGCACTCTGCCACTTAGATGCTGTTACCAGGCAGACTATAGTCACGTGTCTGCGGGAAAAGGAGGGCCAAAATGGAGTCCCTGTTGTTGTTGGGCTCTCAAAATGGCAACTGTGTAACTTTAAAACTACAGTGTCACCTGGTCTCTTTTTTTATCCAGAACTCTGACCTGTCTCGTGGAGGAAGTCCTGGTTGGCTACTGATCCAAGAAAAGGAGGAAGGTAGCCAAAAAGAGAAGTTCTCATGAACAGGGTTGAAAAAAAAAAATCAGACAAGTGCTAGAAACTATGTCATTGTGAGAGTGGCCCCAGCAGGGGCTAAAATAGCGTTACAATCAATTCAGGAGGGTTGGGGCTACTAGTCTTCTACCCCTCTTACCAGCTATTCCCAACCAAGTTCTGGTGGGGATCAATGCTGTGACAGCCCTGTTTAATTCCTGCAGCCCAAAAGCAGAGCGGGCACAGTTGCTCTTTGGGTAAAACACAGTGCAGATAAAGCTTCAGAGATGTAGCTGCTAATCAATAACATGCCACTGTGTATCTAGGAATTGCTATTTTTAAGATGCTTATCACCTGGGTAAATTTGGCCAGATTGTTAGAAGCAGCATCACCTCCCAACCCGAAGGCATCCCTGTTCCAGAGTACAGCGACAGTAGAACTTTTCAATTAAATTTAAGGTAAACACAGTGCAGATAAAGCTTCAGAGATGTAGCTGCTAATCAATAACATGCCACTGTGTATCTAGGAATTGCTATTTTTAAGATGCTTATCACCTGGGTAAATTTGGCCAGATTGTTAGAAGCAGCATCACCTCCCAACCCGAAGGCATCCCTGTTCCAGAGTACAGCGACAGTAGAACTTTTCAATTAAATTTAAGGTTTACCAACATTGTCCTCTCTCTGCAATCTTTGTTGTCGAAGGGTGCTGAAGCTTTAAAAAAAAAATAGTAATTTGGCCCGAGGCAGACGTCGGCTGTGGTAAGTCTCAGTCCCAATGATCCCAGTTGCATCTAAACTGAAAACATCAAATAATAGAAAGTATACAGCAATATGACCTATGGTTGTTGGTATCAGCTCTGCCTAGAATACAATTATTCTGCTTAAAGAATTGCTATGATCCCACTCAGCTACCATTCTCATTTGGGTGGCTCTTCAATGAGCAGGAAGCAAATGAACATTTAGTTTACAGTGACCAAAGCACAGAAAATAAATTGCTGGTTTTCTATTAGTAATCATACTACCAGACAAATACTCTTAAAAGGGAACAATGCTCTTTATTTTCACTTGAGGAAAAAACCTGAATGTTCTGTTACTTCACACCTTGTTAAAAACCGCACGAAAGGCGATAGTCTCTTTCAGGTAAGTGTGACAATTACTGCAAGTCTCTCTTCAAAAAGAGGAGCAATAATTGTAGAGCTGCTTATGGGTAGCAAGTGACAGCGTTGCAGCTAATCCCAAATAAACTATTCAGGAGTGAAGTGACAGTTTTATGAAATACATGTTGCATCATCTGAAACAAACATGGCACAGATCATACTGGTACAAATGTGCATACAAGAAAATGTTTAATCTGATTGCTACATAAACAAATGGATGATTATACGGTATAAAATTGAGTCTAAATTACCGTTACTGATTACAACTTTGTCCATTTTATTGCAAGTTATACTGGTTAATAGTATGTTACATAGGGCCAGAGGCAGCCCTGTGTTTTGCCTGAGTAATAAATGCAGGATAGGACCACATGTACCATAGGTGTCTTTGCACTTCTGCCAGCTATAAAGTAAGAAATATTGCTCAGTAATATGTATTACTGCAATAAGGCTTTCCCGTGGATGCATAGTATGTCCTGGAGGAATGCATTTGACAATCACAGCATGTATGTTGTATACATTTATAGAAGTGCAGACAAAAGAACTAAAAATATATAATATGAAAAGACCTGAGAAAACTCGGTTAAAGTACACTTATGTATTGCTTGTGATACTAAAAGATTCCCTAAAAGTAATTCTATTGTATTAGTTTGTCTTAAATCAATAAAGAGATTTAGATAAAAAAATATGTATTCACAGGAAAGAGTTACATTTGACTTAAAAACAATCTTGGTATTTCCCTTTGAGATGGCAGAACTTACTTTAGGCATAAATGAAAATTTCACTTAATTTCTCTGCATGAGAAATCAAATCAAAGTGCAAATTTCTTTCACAAAAAAGTAAATGGATCTTTTAAAAAACCACCTACTTCTGCTATGTATTTTCTTGCTGCACTCTGATTGTGTGAATTAGATGGCCTTGAATCACTACAGAGAGATATGTATTTGAATTAACAGGTCATCCCTTTTCAAGATAAAAAACTTCTATTAGCTATCTCTTTTGCCTTTGGCCAGAGAGCATAAGTTTAAATCTTGAAAGCACCTTTAGTCAGAATTAATTCTTCAAGTTTAAAAATCAGCTATGTTGATAAGCATGCTGCATTTTAAATACTCAGTATCTGAAAAGAGAAAATTTCCTTAGCCATGTGCACTCAGACCTAATGGAAAAACACTTGTTGCAGCAAAAAGACTAATTCACAAATTCTCCTCCCCATTTAGGGAAGAAACAGTGACTGGCATTCAATTACTAGACAAGACTGAACAGAGTAATATTTCTTTGGTAGGTATTAAGGAAGTTTCTCTTCTGAACTCCTTACGTACCAGTTTCTCAAACACTGCTGAACTCCTACATATATAGCACAGGCAAGATTTCCAGTTGTTCTCTGATATTTTTCTCTTTTCCCTTCATGAAATTTTTGAACAGGACATGGCCTGGGAGCCAAATTCAGATCCTGGAATTCTACAGCTGCCCTCACCTTTAATCATGGAGGCTGCAGCCCACAGAAACTGCAGGTGTCCACACACAATACGTCAGGCCACTGAGACCAAGATGGAGACTGCATGTAGAAAGCTGTAGCATTTCTGGACCACATCTCTATGTTAAATGTGACCTTTTGGGGGCTAGAATGTCCTTTACTTATGCAGCCCAAGAGTGGTCCTCGGGGCCCTAGCTACTGCAGCCCTCAATAACACGCATACTGAGGCATCTCTGTTTCAGAGGCTCCATGGAAGACTATTTTTCTGTGAGAGAGCGCTGCAAAGCTTGCTTAAGTTCTTCTTCTTCCTCTTCACGGTGCCGTTTCTCCTGCTCCTGTTGCTCTCTGACAGACAATTCCATGGCAAGCTGCAAGTCTTTATCAAAACTGGAAGATTCACTTGGGATGCTTATGTGTGGATTACTTGAACTAGTAATGATATAGCTCTCCTGAAGTGCCCTGGAGAGAGAGAAACACAGTTTCAAGTTACATATCCCATTCTGATTTCATTTTCTTCCTATCAGTCTTTGAATGATGTCTCCAAGAGACTCTCAATCTGGTACATAGCCTCCCTTTCCTGAGGGGAAATAAGCAACCCCCAGGACAGTTTCAGAGAGGATTGCATTCTATGAAAAAGTCGTCATGCAATTTCTGAATATGAAATTCATTTTTCTCTGAAAGTTCCCGAGAGTTCCTGCCATCGAAGATCTACTTCATAATGGCTAAGTTTTGAGCAGGCCTCAACGTGCACTCAATTTATAAGCACAATCATGAATGAAGTAAGCTGGTAGAGAAATATTCTTTATGCATGCACAAGAACTCCTTTGCATCTGCAAGAGGAATAATCTACAGGTACAACAGCCTGTTTTCAGAGGGCCATTAAAAGTTTGCTCCTACATTTGTAACAGGTTCCTTAGTATGGGGGGAAACTTCTCCTTAAGTGCCCAATGTGTAGTAAATTAGAGTTAAGACACTTTTTAGAGGGGTTGCAGGAGGAAAAAAAGAGAACCTTGAATTCTGAGTTAGATAAAAGATCCTTTGTTTAAAGGGTGATCATGGGATGGTCAAAGAAATTCAAACTCCTATCCTAAGACTGAGGTAGCAAGCCCATATTCTACTATACAAAGAGACTCATTTGAGGTTCTTCTTGGAGCATCAAAAAATAAGTGATCTGGGCTTCTGTTCTTCTGCTATGCCATGATTGGGCACTGTCCTACTTGTCTAGACAAAGTGCAGCATACCTTTGGTTTACTATTGGAGGTGTTTAGACTCTAGTCCAAAAACCTGGCCTGGCACGTTTAAAAATTTTAGAAGCTGACATTACCTTTGATACTGTATATTAAAGTCCTGTGCATAAGCAACCGCTCCATTGGAGTGCATTCCTAAGGCTTCCTGGGGAAGGGGAAGAAAGTACCACAGTGATTAAGCAATGCAAGTCATGCTTGAAAGTCATTTCGCAGTCATGCATGAATCTCTCATTGATATTTGCTGTGACAAGTTTAAAAAATGTTAAGATTTTTTGAAAACTGCGATATCTATTCCTGTAGAAACTATATATACCCTGGTATGAATTTAGTGATGTGTCTTACTATATACAGCTCATGTTAAAATAAAGAAATATTGCTTTGGTGGTTAATAGACAGCTGAAAGAGGAAGATCACCTAAGTATTAGTAACATAATACAGAGTGAACAGGTATTTCATCTTTAAACTAGCCGAGCCAATCTTTCCAAGTCAAAAAAGAAGACATACTACATTTTATCTAGAAAGAGAAAAAATATTAAACAGCTTGCAATACAGACTTACTTTATTTCCACTGGATTCCAACAAACTCTGCTGAATAGCAAACTGCATTATTTCATTATCTTCATCCTGCACACGCAAGTTCCTACCATCATCCTGAGTGTGGTAAGATTTGGGGATCTCAAACACAGACTGGTCGACCTCAAAGTTAGAGGCTGTAGAAGTTAAAGATATTGTACTCTTACAGTTTGTTAATCCAACAATTAATGCCCAAAGCCCACTTTCATTTCTATAAATAATACAAAACAAGACTCTAAGAATGGCCATACTGGATCAGAACAACAGTTCATCTCATCAGCATCTTGTGTTCTATCAGTGGCCAATGCCAGGAGCTTCAGGTGGATAATCATCAAGTGATCCATTCCCTATTGCCCTTGTCAAGCTTCTGGCAAACAGAGTCTAGGGACACTTCACAACATTGTTGTGCATCTTGCCCATTAGCCACTGATGGACCGATCCCCTATGCACTTACCTAGTTCTTTTTTTAGCCCTATTACAGTCTTGGCCTGCAGTTCAGACAAACCACCCTAGTATGTATGCCCTATGCAAATAAGGTGCCAAGAGGCTTACAGAGCAGCCAAGATAAAGGAAAAAACAGAACATAAATGACATGGCACCAGCAAGTTTCACAGTAGGGAAATCAAACATGTGGCACCAAAGAACTGAGCAGGCTCCATTGTACATTGATAAGTAAAAACAAAAAAGAGACAAGTTTGCCAAAAACTTAAAAGACACTGAAGAGTACCCAATCTATCAGTAAGGCTGCTGATTTCTAGCAGAAATTTGTCAGAAGCTCACAGGGGAATGTATTATACATGTGCAATGTTTCCCATGATTGTGCACATCTGCCCCATTGTACTGTTTTTATGTATGCTTGGAAGCTAATCTGCTGCTGCTCTGCCATTGTACTTCTCAGATGTATAGGTTTTGTATAAAAAGTAAAGGTAAGGACACTAGTCTCCAGTACCCAAGGAGTTAACCTTGAAGAGGCAACTGTGTAGAGGTTTGAAATGAGAAAGGGTTAATTGGATTGGTGGATACCCATTCCAGTCACTTAGATATTTTACTATACATACGGCTTTCCAGATCAGTTACAATAAGGACTACAACCTACTGTAGTCTCATAAGTTGAAGTCTATACAGTCCACAGACAGGTTTTCTTTATTCTACACATCCCAAATATACCAAGTAAACATTGCGTAAAACTACCAGAGCTTTACACCTGGTTATCCAACTCACACTGTGCACCTTCATCAGTTTGTGATGACCTTTCCTCAGCTGTCCTGCAGCCATTAACATTTTCAAATGTAATTCGAGCATTAAGCACATGAAACAAGGGAATTTCTGTAAATGGAAGACATACAAGATTTCTATAAGGCTCAGCAGAACCACATACATTTCAGGTTACAGCAACAGCAATGGACTTTTATACATGCTCAAATTTCACAGATGTTATGTAGCTGTACAGTGAAATGCCACCCCACTTTACCACAGAAAAGATTTCAGTAATCTGTCCGTCTCATAATTTAGTACTGAGTAAGCATTACACTCACAGAAAAGTTAACCAAACTCCTACCCCGGCACACTAGATGCTGATCACTGCAATGCACTCTTCACAAGAACACATCTTTATGTCATTTGGAGGTTGCAGCTAGTGTAGACTGCAGCGATGGCCTGTTTATTAGGCCACAGCTCCAGGAAGAGAGCATATAAAACATCTTCTTGACTTGCTGCGGCCACCTCAGTGAAGTTTAAGATGATGAGTTGGACCTATATAAACCCCCAATTATTTGAGTCCCAACTTTGGGTGAAGAGGGGTGATATCTTGAGAGTCTGAAACTGTTGCAGTCACGAAAACCAACTTTCTAACAGAAAGGACTAGCAATAACTAGTTCTTAGTGAGGTGTCCTTGCCTTTGGAATTCGCTTCCCTGCTTGGTCCTTCAGAGCTTAGATTTTAATGCCCATCAGATACATGGTAAGGCTCAGCATTTTTCCAGATTCTCTGACTGGGAGATGGACAGGATGACAGGTAGTATTTTTAGAAAATGAAATGTATTTTAATTTTTGTCCCAGCTTTTAAACTTTTGTGCTGCAGTTGAAGAACATGAAGAAAAGCAGATGGAAATGAAGAAAGAGGCTAAATGCAAAAGATTGCTGAACTGTACCAATTTTGACAGGAAATCCAGGTGGAAATTCCAAAGTGATGAAATCTTTAAGTCTAGCAAAATGAGCACTAGCTCTGGCCATCAGATCAATGATTGGGGTGACTTGCTCCACGAGAGAGAGGGGGAATTCTTCACACATCCACAAGGTTGCTTTAAACCTGTAACAGTGAGTTATACAAGAGGATATTAGAAAAGTCTGAACTTTAGCCCCACTCCCTAAATAAAAAGTCTGAACTTTTCTACTATACATGTAGCAAAATACATATTCTATTATCTGATGATAATACCACTGGGGTTAGAGAATGAATTATACAGTTCTAGCACATACTGCGATACAAGCTTTTTTTTTTTTTTTTTCAACCTGGGGCTTATATGTATTATAATCTAGGTAAGCAGTGAGAGCCAAGAATAATTACCACCTAAGAGTGCATGCAGTCGAATGGTGATGTCGGTTATGTTTCCAGCAGAGAGATTTGTGCATCTCAGAAATTAAACCTCATAAAACGTCACCCTCGCTGGAAGTCTCAGAGGCTGAAGATCAGCAACACACAGACCGAATTTCACTCCCCTTCAGACTTGAGGCACCGCATGGGAGAAGTTAGTGTTGGTACTGTCCATGTTGCATTTAGTTTGCTGATAGATTTCAGCCTCCAGAGCCTTTGGACAGACTGTCACTGTACACTTGTATTAACAGTAGGCTTTTACTAATATGGTTAGCATTCACTTAACTCTCCTCCCACTGGTTTTATAGGGAACATGGGTAGGCCAAAGCTAAGTGCTTTTGAAAATGCCACCCTTAATTCAATCCCCACTCCCTAAATAAAGTGAATTATATTAGAAATTTACAATATGGTTTCTGAAAGCAAAACACTGGAGGAGAATCGAAGCAAGCTGTCATCAAACAGGAAGAGTTTAAGACAGGGTCATTTAAAGTTATACATTAACATTTCTTACTTCTGTGTTCTAATAGTGACTTCTTTAGGTCTTCCTATGTCCCTATCTTTCAGATCAAACTTTGGGTCAAAATATTCTTCCAGAGTAATGGCTGTTGGGTTATTCATTGTGGAAAATTCTGTTGTGAGATCCTGTAAAAATAAACAGCACATAATAGCAGCTGAAGCTTTCTGTAGGAGAGTAGATGGCTCCCTATCTCAGATTCTAGTGAAGCCTAAGTGACAACTGCATAACACAGTTTAGGTGAGATCAATAGTGAAATGAACACACAGGTACAACAGACTAAAACAGATCTAGACACTAATATAGTGCTTTCCATGAGGGTTTTGAATGTTTTCCAAAGATAGTACAACTTGTCGCCACAAAAATTAGGCCAAACTAGAATGGTGTGAGGATTTAATATGCCTAATATAAAAACTATGAAGAAGAGTTATATGCAGCTCAAAAGCTTATCTCACTCACCAACAGAAGTTGGCTCAATATAAGACATTACCTCACCCACCTTGTCTCTAATATTCTGGGATGGACATAGTTACAACTACACTGAATACATAAAGTGGGGACCTCAAATCCAAGCAGAAAGAGTCCCTATTCATCCATACAAGATCCTCAGCAAAACCCATGGCAAAGCCACCAGCTGGTAAATCCATTACCTGCTCATCTATAAACTTGTACAGGTGTAAAAACATTTGCTCTTATGCAAGGCTGGTAACATCAATAAATTCACACTCCATACAGAGCCCAAGGACATCTCCCTTTTCTCAGAGTTGCTATATGCTAGCATGCTGCTGCAGCACTTGTACCCCCAAGCTACTGTACTTCTTTGTATGGCTGGGTCACCACTGAAAGTTTGGGTCTTCAAAACAATGCAGGTCTGCAAGCTTTCTGTGTCAGTACATTTGGTTATTCTAGTCTCTTTTTGTGGGGAAGAAGGGGAGTGGTGGTAAGAACAGAAGCCCATAGCAAACCCTGATTTTCACCTCACTCCAGCAGCCCAGTTTCCCACTCTTCCTTCCAGATTCCAAGACCCTCCCCCACTCACGGGCTTCTTCACAAGGAAAGATAGAACTACTCTCTTACAGCAACATTTTGGGGTGCACGAGGCAATGGTGGAAGGACTGAAATTTTCAAGTGTAATTCTAGAACCCAGCGTTTGAACTACATTTCTATAACTAAAGAAACAGTTTTGGTGAAATTTTGGCAAAAACTCTACTTAACTCATTTGTGTTACTTCTCAACACTGCAGTGACTGCTTTTAACATGATGAGAGAAGCATTTTACTCACCTGTGCCCCATACTCATGCTCTACAGTACCCAGAAAAGATTCCAGTGGACTCCTGTCAGCTAGAGAAGAAAAGGAAGAGAGAAGGGTAGGCTAGTTAGAAGAGTTTAACACACAGAGAAGTGCTCATGCATCAATTCAGGCTCAGAGACAAGGGAAGCCCAAGCTCCACAGGCAGCTGATAGACACAGTCTTGTTTGCACTGCTCATTCAACATGGGAGAACTACAGCGAGGCTGGTTTTTGATTAACTCTCCGAAAAGCCCAGGATTGATGAATAAAATGAATAGAAGGTGAGAAGGAAGGGACAATGATTTTAAAGGACACTAACATCCGGACCATATAAAAATGTATCATCATTGTCCACTCTACCTCGTTCTTGGGAGTGTCTGAAAACTGCTGAAAGGCATTTGTTTCCCCACACAAGGTTATTGTCTGGCTTGCTTCTACCTTCTACTATAATCTTAATATGTACCCCAGATATAAGAATACAAAACTAATGTGGACATTTTAAGGCAGGTAAAGTAAATAGATATGAAATGAAAGTACAGAGGCTTTCAGGGCAGAGAATATGCAGGGACAGAAAAAGAAACCATAGCGGAGGATACCACCTTCTGAAGCTTTAGAGAAGGGGAGGGCAAGAGTTTGGGTGCAGGAGGGAGCTCTGGGCAGGGGATTAGGTTGCAGAGTGGGTTGTGACTTGGAGCAGGAGGTTGGGGTGCAGGAGAAGGATTCCAGGAGCAGACTCTGGCTGGGTGATGCTTACTTTAGGCAACTCCTAGATGGTGGCCTAGCAGTGTGCTCAGGGAGGCTGCCTGCCTGCTGAAGCCCCACACACTGTTCAAAGCAGCTGGCTGCTAGAGCAAGCACAGCTCTATGCACCCCTTGGAAGCACTGACTGGTTTCTGGCCAATGGGAGCTGTGAGGACAGTGTTGGGGTAGCTGCTCTCCTCCCAAGGAGCATTGCATGCAGGGACACACTTGCCCCAGCAGTCAGTTGCTTTGAGCAGCATGTGGGGCTGTGGCAGACAGGTAGCCTGCTTAAGCGCACTGCTGCGCTGTGGGACATTAGCAGTCTGGAGGATCATAGCAGACAAGATCAAATGTTTGGCAGGCCAGATCGATGGTCCATTCATGCTTTAGAGCAGTGGTCCCCAACGCGGTGGTCCCCATGGCACCCACCGGGGCATTTATGTGTGTCCACTGAAACATCTGGGCTGGCCTCACCCCCAGCGCGTGGCACATGCGTGGTGCCGGCCCTGGGCTCAGGGCGTGTGGGCAGTCCCTACCCCCGGTGCGCAGCACATGTGCGGTGCCGGATCGATGGTCCATTCATGCTTTAGAGCAGTGGTCCCCAACGCGGTGGTCCCCATGGCACCCACCGGGGCATTTATGTGTGTCCACTGAAACATCTGGGCTGGCCTCACCCCCAGCGCGTGGCACATGCGTGGTGCCGGCCCTGGGCTCAGGGCGTGTGGGCAGTCCCTACCCCCGGTGCGCAGCACATGTGCGGTGCCGGTCCTGGGTGCAAGGCGCGTGGGCGGTCCCTACCCCCGGTGCGCAGCACATGTGCGGTGCCGGTCCTGGGTGCAAGGCGCGTGGGCGGTCCCTGCCCCGGGCACACGGCACATGCGCGGTGCCGGCCCTGGGCTCCGGCAGCCATGAAAGGTTGCAGACCACTGCTTTAGAGGAAACCCTGATAATAGTTTTCAAAACACTTTTTCCCTAGAAATACAATCAAAACTACACAGAATTATTCACACTTACATTAAAACTTCAGAGAGACAAGTAATAAGGCATCTCAGGTACACAGCAATTGGAATTAGCTAGAGCAGGTTCAGAGGCAAGTGAAAGTAACTTACTTGGTTACTCTGCACCACCCATGTGCTGTGCACAAAGGTTACGTCCTGTCTCTTTGAACAAAGATTTTAACAAAATGTTCTATTTAGTTTCAGATAACCAAGGGGAAGTTACCTTTATATCTTTTTTTCTCTTCTTCTGTCAAATGTTCTGTTCGGATTTTTGTGACTACATTCACATTGTTTGCTGTATACACCTTTAAAAAGATATATTATTATCTATCTTATGTATTACGACTCATCACTCTTAGGGGCTAATGTCACAGATCAGGGTCCACATTAAAGATAAGAAAAGCAGCATCTTTACAGATGCTCAAGCAACAAGTTCAAAAGTTTAAACCAAGAAGGAGGGGAAAGAGGAAAAACCAACAATCTGCCTACTTTTAACATATAGAAATCTGTGAAACACAAATGTGTGATCTACCTATTTAATGCATTTTCCCATGAAGTGCTGAAAAGATTATACATAAATATTGTAATGTCATTACTTTGACAGAGTCTCTGATAATGCTGAGCTAGACAACCATAAGCTGGGCAAGCAGCTAGAATCAATACAAAAATACCTATTAAAAAATCCCTTAAAGGAAAACAAGCAAGCATGAGTCATTTAAGCCCAATCCTACAGCAGCAAAAGTTCAAGACATTGTCATTGGATTCACTGAGAACTAGGTCTAGCCCTGGCAGGGACTCTTGGGAGGAGATTCAGGTGCTGGAAGATAAATTTCCTGTTAATAAAGCTGGCTCCAAACGAAAGTGGATGGGCACTTTAAACTAAGGATGTTAATTTTGAGGGAGAAGGGACAGGGAAAAGAAGTTAGTATGTGTTCTCTCTCTTTCTACTTAAAAGTCACTGATATCATTCTGCAGGTGGAATTTAGCCGATGATTACTTTGAATATGCAACTAGAAGGTATTCTGCTCTCTACTTAGGAGTGGTTCTGTAGCAGTGATATAATTCAAACCTCGCTGGTTTGAGTCCAAGCAACCAGAGGAGTAAAAAAGTTCCATTTACATTTTTTTTGACCATATTAGAGCTTCAAAGGATTTTAGTTTCACATGGGTCAATTGTACAGGTTTAAATCACTACACTTTAACAACCCCCCACCCCATTAAAAAAAAACAATAAGTTTGCAAAGAGAAACAAACACTCAAAGTTAAGAAATGCTAGAGTTAAAGTAACTTTAAATCTCTGGTTTCCAACAGGCTAGGCACATGTGGCTATTTGGCCAGTTGTGTGTGGCTTGTTCAAGCCAACTATGGGGTTATTTGGCTGGTTGAGTGGGGCTAGTTTGCTATAGTGGCTACTGCTTCAGAACTGGTTGGACACCATGGCACTAAATTGTCCTGCTTGAGCATTTACATTATTGTACTATTTAATTATATGGCAGATAGCACCAGAGATGGACAGTGTTCATTCAATGGAAAGCTATTCATTATTTATTTTTATCCTCATTAAATGTGTAGTAAATAATGTAGTAGACTACCCATCATCCAAATCCTTCACCAAAGGTAAATTAACATTTCTTCATGGTCTCCTGTGGTGCTCTCCTTGTAGTATCTCAGTTCTTTACAAAGATTAATTAATTTATCTTAATAATCCTATGATCTAAGTAGAAATAATCCCCATTTTACACACAAAGATCTAAATCACAGAGCAATTAAGGCAAGAAGTGTCAACAAATTTTAAGTAACCAAGTTGACAAGTCAAAGACCTTATTTTTCAGAATACAGTACTTAGAAAATACTATGTTCAGAGTACCTCTCCCATTGACCTCAGTTGCAGTTGGATGTTCTCAGTTCTTTTGCAAAAACAAAACAAAACAAAAAATAAAACCTTTGGATAATCAATTTAGGCACTCAAAAATGGGGAACAGTTAGCATCCCAAGTGAAAAGGTTTGTTTACTTAATTTGCCCATGTGATGTTATGGACTCAGTGACAGAGGCAGGAATAAAATCCAAAAGCAATGTTTTCCCTTTCTGTAGTTTTAACTTGAGCAACAAATGCAGCAGAGGTCCTATAGATTCTATTCTAACAGGTTCTTCCACCATGTTCAGTCATCACCATACTGTTTAAGACCTGGTCTACACTATATGGGAAGGTCGAAGTAAGATATGCAACTCCAGCTATGAAAATTACATAGCTGGAATTGACATTATTTACACTTCATTTCCATGCCAAACAAGTTACAGATACCAAAGGGTGCTATAAAAATCCAAGATCTGCAGGGGATACAGAAGGTAACAATTATAATTCAGTTAGCTATAAGACATCTTAGTTGTAAATAACTACTTTTTACCTTTGCTACATAACCATTAACACCTTCTGCTTTCTCAGTCCTCCAGACCCAAAATCCAGACGTATTTCTAATAAACAAAGGAAAGAACAATTGTCTATGTATTTGTAGCTTATAGTTAGCTCCTAGTCCCTATTTTCCTAAATAATTTTTAACCTGGACAATGTTTTAAGAGGTATTAAATATAAGAGTGCTAGAGAAGAGGAACAGCACAGACATAAGATGACCTTGCAAATAGCAACACCAACATAGGACTTAGAGAATAGTTTAATTTCTGTTTTCATTCCGATTTTGGCTTAACTGCAAAGACCAATGAACTGTGCCTTTAGTTTGTGATGTGAATATCTGACCAACTAGGAACTGGGAGGTTCTGAAAACCACAGATAGCCTCCTTTTACAAAAATCAAAAATTCCTAACTTGCTGACCTTAATTTTAAACAGCAACACATAGTTGACAGTTGGGGAACTGGATTGGTAGAGCCAAAACAACAATTATCTATGAGTCAAGTTATATTTTCAAATGCTTCTAAGTCCCATTTTCTTAATTAATTTAGATACTTGGAAATGTAAGTCTCATTGAAAGCCTCTGAATCTTAAGTCTTAAACATTTTAAAATCTTACCCCTTAAGTACATCTTGCTATTCAAGAGAGAGAGAAATCTTTACACATCCATTGGAATCAGTGATTTGGATAGCTGCTGTCCTCACTGGCTGCAATTCTGCACCCATGTTTGGACAAACATTTCTTTCTTGGAGTAAAACACCAAACCAAAAAATCCCCCCACATTTCTTCTAGCAATTATAACAATGGTTTTAAAAAGTGTCTACATAGAACAATATACAGTGTTATGGTTACACACCATTATTATTTTAAGATACACAATACAAGCCTTTTTAAAACTACACTGCAAGTATAATCATCGTGCATATTTGTACCTGGAGAACTTGTTCATTAACAGAAGCTTAAATACCTTACCTTTCAAAAGCAATGCTTTTAGTATCAAGGCACGTATTAATAATTGGAGATGTAAGGCGTCTTTCCACTTCCTTTCTTTCTGGCGTCATAGAGCTCAAGGTCAAACACTTCATTTGTTGAGAGATTTCAAAACGCTCTGTCGTGACAACAGTTCTGCCCAGCCTCCAGTATCTGTTAAAGAGATATATCTTATGGACTACAGACTTCAGAACAAACCTTCAGTGTAAAGAGCTGACCAAGACACACAGCATAGACCAAAATGAGAATTAAAGCTGACTTACAAAGTTTTAATCCCTCATTTACCTAGGTGGTAGTAACTTAAAAAACTTGCCCAACATGGTAAGGATGTTCAAGCAGACTGCGTGCCTGCCTAAGTCATTTTTATTATAATTTTGCATAGTGGAATTAACAGTCTGTAATAATGAAGATTCAGATCTCCAAGAAGAAAAATACAGCTGATTACTTTGGAGGTAGAAAGAGAGGAGAGGGTAAAGTCAAGTTCTAGTGATTCATATTTGCTCTAGATGATTTTTCTTAACAGAAAGTCCAAGCACTTCTACTTAGCCTAGTGAGCTGAAATCCTAGAAAATTCACATCCCAGCATAAATAAGTCATGTGAAAATAAAACTTATTACATATGTCCTTTCCAGTAATACTGAGAGTCTGTCAGTGTAGTTTGTGTACTATTTAAATTATGATCAATTATTATTTCAATTATGATCAATTAATCAAATGTATTATAACAACATTTACCTTCTCCCTTGAAAATTAAGCTACGTCTCCCTCGTTCCCAGCTCATATTTTCAAAGCCCAATAACGTGATATCAACACGTAATTTAGCACCACTTTTCCAGATCCGACAGGTATCATTTGGACATACTCTGGAAACTAGTGGAACTATAAAGAAACAAAATGACACACACAGATGCAAATATAAAAATCCTTAAAAGACAGGACCAATGTCTGAAGATTAAACTCAATCAGAATCTATATGTGCTCGATAAAGAAATTTCTTGGTGAAATTTTAGGGTCTGTTATGCAGGCCATAAAGTAGATGGATTTTAGCATTCCCTTCTTATCTTACACACACCTATGAATCAATGTCTAGATAACAAAACACATAAGGATTATCAGAACGGATTCTTGATTTATTGATGAACGCGATAGGGAAATGAAACACAAAAACAGACCAGTGGCCTAATGCAATTTTGTATCCTGTCTCATACAATGGCTAAATATGTAGTGGTCTGGAGAAAGTCTATTCAGGTGTAATGCTATTTTGTGGTGTAAAGAAATAAGTTTCCTGAATGTTCTGTCTCAATGCATGTGTGTGACTGTCTCCCAAGTGTCAGGATGGCTTAGTCTTTAGAAGAAACCTACTGCACAGTACTCGCTTTTTAAAACAAACAAAAACAAACAAGCAAAAAAGCCCACAAACACAAACAAAACAAACCCAAGGGATATTTTCAGGGAGGATACAGTTTGTGCACCAGGCAAAAGTGATCAGGAGGAATCTTTAAGTCTCAAAGGACTTTGGCTCCCATGTCATATTTTTTTCCTTTCAACTCACAATGAGAGCACAAGTGTGTTTTCTTTGCAAACTTACTTTTTACTTCAGCAATTCTTAAAACTTAGAGATAAGAAATTTTAAAAATCCCCCCCAAAACAAACTTACCCCAGCTAGTGAATTCCCATTTCATTTCCACATAAAAATCAGAAGTCTAGTGTAGAAACAAAGTATTCAATGAACCAATGAGGGTGAGAACACTAGATTAATATTCAGTACAGCATGTCACATGTACATTTTAGAAACAAGAGCAAATAGATGTTTTGAGATGTTCCTGATAGTAAGCACAATGAAATCAATAAGTATGATTTTTACATGAGCTGATATTTTTTATTTATTGAAAATAATGGGCACAGAGTGTAAAATTGTTCTGTAACAAAATTACACTGAATTACTGAACTACTCTTCATTTGTTATTCTGCTACAAAAGCACATAACTCTAAGCCTTTGACATAGGAAGAATAAGCATCCTTTTCCAAGACACAGGAATATTAACAAAAACTCCACAGTCTCCCATATGTTTATATATATTGCTGATAAGCACAATTATGAACTGAATAATGCATCCTCCTGAATTTAAAGTAGTTGATTTAAGTAAAATGGAACCAAACTAACAATTCTTCCAGATGCAACTGATGAGCATGCAATTCAGGTCTCAGGAAGCATTTACCTCATTAATTTTTTGGAGTAACTCAGGAACTCCTCCAAGTGTTGCAGATGTTTGGTGGTAGTCCCGATGCTGTAAAATCAGGTGTGCCATTTCTGGGTCTCCTGTGCTTACAGCCTCATGTAAAACTGCAAGAAATCAAAACACAGGCTAGGTTTAATATTAACAAAAACAAAGTAAACACTGCAGCCACATCCCATGGCTAGATGACATTTATAAGGGACAGATTTTAGATCTTCAATGTTTAAGGTGAAAGCTATTAACATACAGCTGCCTTTGAGCTAGGAATGTAAACAGTTACCTAGTAGGCATTAGGCTTACTGGATAGGTAACCGGTTAACTAAACTGGGTGGTAGGAACCCAGACAGGGCAGCAGCCCTTATAGCCCCCAGCCTTGCACTGGCAAGAACCCTGGCTGCACTAGTCTGGAAGCCCTGTCTGCATCCACAGCCCTAGCCCTGAGAGGGGACAGGTGGGATATCAATCACCTGTGCTGGCAGACTCAACCTTGCAAGTGGGGGCAGCTGGGACCCCAGCAAACTGTGCTGCAGCAGCAGCGCCAGCCCTGACATGCTCCGGGTGTGACACGGGCAGGAGACGCTTCAGCCTGGCCAGGACAATTGCATTACACTGCAGTGCAGCTAGCTGCTCCAGCCCAGCCTGGCTGGAGCAGTCCCTGCCCACGTCCTGGGTGCTGCCCCAGCCTTGTCAGGCCCACCGCCCCTGCCTGCAGGATAACGGTTAACCAGTTAAACATTTTAACTGGTTAACTGATTAACTGCAATTTTGCATCTCTACTTGAAGCTGATCTCTTACCTGTCCAACCCTGTGCATTCTCTTTGGTAACATCTGCTTTGTGTCGAAGGAGGACTTTGACAGATTCAATATAGCCCAAGGAAACAGCAAGGTGCAGCAATGTCCGACCCCGTGGATCACGCTGATCTACATCCTGTTGAGTAATCAAGAGTTAGCTAATATTGAAACTGTGCTATCAAATGTAAATCATCAGAACACACTTAAGAAAGTTAAAACAAAGATGTTCAGCAATAAGCTGTAATAGCTCAATACGTATTATGTATTCTTACAAAACAGTTAATTGCTTGAATGTAAGAACAGCCAGATGAGTCAGACCAAACGTCCATACAGCCTAGTATCCTGTCCGCTGACAGTGGCCAATGCCAGGTGCCCCAGAGGGAATTTATCCTACATGACTTGCTTTGACATTGCTACTCAATTGCCTATTTGTCTTCTTAAAAGCCTGATCCTACCTCTGCACAGAAAATCATACAGGAATAGAATTGGGCACCATCGGAGTGACTGTGGTCAGAAAAAGGGAGGGAGCACAAACAGTCTAGATTATTCCTCTCTTCCACCCCATTCTTCATGGGCAGTTTATTTTAGGAGTAGATAGCGCTTCATTCTTTTTATTTTCTACCAGGAGTGGTCACCAGTTAAATGGCCACTGGAGTTTATAATAGAAGATATCCAACATACTAAAAATCAGCAAAAGTTTACAAGAGCAGGTGATAGTTTACAATATACATTTTGTATTTGGGGGTGAGTATATGAAAGAACATGGCAATTAAAAGATCATCTGTTTGACTGACACACAGAACAATGGAGAGTGAATGCATTCTCTACAAATCACTAGGAAATGAAACTACACAAGGCACAAATAGCCAAAACATGCAAGCATAACATACTCATACCTTACATATATTTTTCACTACTAGCTTTAGAGATTTGAAACAGAAGAGCATCTATAACTAAAGGAAAATGGGAAAAGTCAATAGTGGGCTAAAGAAAGGAAAGTTATTACATAACTTAACACGGTTATTTGACAGCATTATGTTTAAAATACCAACTAGTGAGCATAAGGAAACTGAGTTAAATCATCCTAATTTCAGAGCTGCAGCTCATGTGATCTTCAATCTTGCTTTCACAAACAAAACAAACAAACAAACCAAAAACCTAGACTTTGGAAAAGTCTGTATCTGAATTTTGGACTACAATTAACCTGAAGCTGTACTTTATATCCATGTATCATTTCATATGCTGATTGTATCTGGTAGAGCTACCTTAAATACCTTAAGATCTATCACAGCACATCTGTTACACACAGCAAGCAGTTTGTCCCGAAGATGTAAGAGGAAGTATACGCTTCCAGAATGCCTTTTAAAACTTTCACTTAAGAGAGAGGTTTCAGACTTCATGGAATGTCTTTCCAATTCTTCATGTTGCTTGTCTTGTCTTCATGTTGCCTGCCTTCTTCTACTGTAAGATCTTTGGGGCATGGAACAGGACTACATGTGTATAAACAGGACTTTATGCAGCGTGGATGATATCAGAATTCAGATAAAAATAAACTGAGGCAATAAAATCTTTGTTAAGATTCAAGTGTTTATTTTAATAACGTTCTAACCTTAAAAGATTTGACATCCAACAAAAGGTTCAGTAAAATTTATAGAGAATTCTTTAGTACAGACCAAAGATTAATGGGAATAAGAGACAGCAGCAGCATTGCACGATTATTAAAAAAGCATGCTTTCAGACAATACCAGTGTTTCATAGTCTACAACTGGTATTGTGGATGACTATCAGGGTGCATGTCAAGAAGGTAGCATTAGCTGATGAGTCCAAACATATTTTCACTGTCTCAGGTACAAAGCAGTTTATATCAAGCAGAACTGAATCTCAAAGTTCAGAGTATTCCTGAAGCAGGCATGGTCACCTAAGTTACACTAGCATGCAATACTGTCTGTTGCTTGGGATCTGATGCAGATTTTTGAACATTTCCTACTTCCTTTCTTTTAACATTTGGTACTTCAATCACAGCCCTTACCTAAATGCTGGATTATTGTGTCCTCTGTTCTACTGTTAGTCATGATGATCAGTTATTTTCTACCACTATATGATTCTATAGTTTAGCAAAACCTGCTAGGCTTCTACTTCTCAGGCAGCCAGTGAAGATCAGAGGACTACATTTGAAACAAGCTCTTTGTGTTTTAACAAGGAAGGAAATTACTGCACTGGCTATTTTTGCAAGGCAGCTATCTTACCACCAGATCAGTGTAAGGGGAAGGAAGATACTGGGTCAATACAACATAAAGAAAGAAAAATAAACCCTTCAATTTTCAATAGACTGAGGCTGCCATTCTGATGAAAAAGTCAATTTGTATCTCTCTTTGGCAGTAGCTGATACATTCACTGTATACTTCCCCTTCACCTCTCCCCCCTATTTCCTCTTCACCTCCCTCAAGGTGGTACTTATTTGCTGCTTTTCTGGCAAACAGCATTAGTACCCGTCACATCTGTCTATTGGCTCTGCTTCAAATGATTTATAAGATTTTCCTGTCAGCAACAGAGTTGTTTACAATCAATCTGTATCTCTCTCAATGTCTTGAATCTGGCTTTATTAAAAGAGACAGTCAAATATTTAATACACAGAAGTTGCATGACAAAGGGTGTACTCTCTGTGCCTGAGGTGATAACCACAAACACCTGTAAAACAAACAAATCCCCCCAAAGAGCTTAAGAAAGAGAAACATCACTAAAATTAAGGTTATTTTCTAGGTCTTCATGTCACATAAAATGCCTATAGACAATCTATTACCCAGATCTAATTATCAGTCCATCACATCCTGCATTCTGCTTTCGGCAGTTTCAGAGGAAAATCCCTGTCCTTACAAGTCACTGCGCCATATGTTGGTCTGGTGCCAGTTTTACCTTTCCGTCCAGCTCTTTATCCAGCTGCCTGTAGTCATTATTCCAGACCAAGACGTGCAGAGGAAACCTGCTACTCGCCTTACCTAGAGAACTCATCCTGCCACCTCCCTGA